CTGGGCTGTTTAAACCCATTAAATAGAAAAAAATAGAAAATAAGCAGTACTTTTGGTGCTCACCTGGAATTACAGAGTCTAAGTCGCTATCTCCTCTCACGGTCTTGACCAATCATGATGCCCAATCAGGACAAGCATAAAGAGCAAATTCGGGTTTCAAGTAAGTCTCAAATAAATGTGTGTTTTTTTTTTAAACTTTTGACATGATATGTTTGAATATAAACATGTTAATATGAATGCAATTATGGTTCAAAATAACATGACATAAAAGTATGTACATTTTTTTGGGCTGATTTTTCTTTCCAGTGGCAAAGTAAGTTTGAAGAAAGAAACTATTGTATTGATTTCTAACTTTGCACTTGATACGTAATATTCCAGTCTTTCTTGAGCTTCTTTTCTATGCCCCGCCCCCTCCTTGGTAACATATAATGTTTGAGTGCTTCATTTCTGGTCTCTTGCCATTCTTTGGGTTTTTTAACTGAGGTGAACTTCCCATCTCCTCTGATGCTCACAGACAAAAATAACTGAAATTTCATACACCAAAGTAGTTGAAATTATCATCAGAATATCGGAAATACATTTACCTGATATCCAAATTGGTGTTACTGATATTAATAATATATTACTTAATATATATAAATAAGCTGGATTTGAGACTTGAACTTGTACTTAAAGTTGAAGTTTCCAGCAATAATAAGTTATTACGAGTAGGAAAATTTGGCATGTGGCGCAGAAAAGTCAGTAAGAGAATAACTTCAGTTTTGTAATCTAAATAATGTTTGTTATATCCAATAGTGATCAATAGTGTCTAAATTAACTTGGATTTAAGGAGGATTGAAAGATTAATCAGTAGAGTCATTATCCTGCCCATGGTGTGTGACCTTCAGAATAAGTAATTTGCAGACAGGATGATTGTATATTAGACCAAGATGTCCTTAAAAAGTTGAAGCTAATTAAAAGACTCAACATTCAGTTGGGTCTTAAGTTGTGGAAATACATTCAATTCACAGTAGTACTATCAATCACAGTTGTACTATGACTTAGAAATCAAAGATATGGGTTAGGGGAGAGGGGCTCTGGTAAATTATGAAGGATAACAAAATCCCTTCTGGATATGTTTGACCATGAGTCAGTTAAATGTACTCAGTATCTGAAGTAAACAACACATAAATAGTGTGTATTTCCTCATTCCTGAATGCGTTTAGCAATGTAGATAGCTAAAAGCATGTGAGGTGCTCCACTGGAAAACAAAAAAAGAGAAATTATGGCCATTTCAAGTCTAATCCTCTGATAATTCCAACCTACGTACTCAGTTAACCTTTATGATAGACATGTAAATAACAGTCTGCTTGTTTGTTATTTTTCAGAAGCATTTCAGGAAATGTAGAAATGTGTCAATCTAGTTATTAGCCACAGGCTTGTCTGGGTATCACGGCTTTAGAAAAATTTTTACCATGAGCACATTATTTTTCAACTCTTAGTTTTAGAACAGGTGGCTCTGAGTTTGGAGTGTATGACTGGGTGCCCATGCCTAGATTGATCCATCTGGATCGACCTAACTCCCTGGGGGTTCACACTAAATTGCTATCAGCTTAAGAGGCTTAAATGTTTGTCACGCTTACCGAATCAGCTAGGGGAGTAATTAACTTTCTTGCATGCTCAGCCTCACCATGAGCAGATAGCAATTTAGTGAGACTCCCCGTGGAGATAGATCGATTCAAATATCTGTGGGAATGGTTCCTATTTCTGTGTCAGGGTATTGCCACAGAAACATAGCTAAGCTCCCAGACACAGTAAATGGGTGCAAAGGACAGAGACAGGACAGATTGAAAAGGTCTGTAAAATGTACTATTTTAGTGTACATGTAGCGTGCTTTTATTTGTAGTGATCTGGTAGTTAATGCACTTTTAAGGCATAAGGGCACTTTTTTTGGTATCTAAAGAAGTCTGTTTACTGTACTGATTACCATTGCATGACTTAGAAGTATGACATATTGTTTTAAACACTTTGACATCATTATTTGTAAAGAAAGGCTGACATGTGAGGGCCTGGCTGGAGGTGAGGGGCTTATTCAGATTTACACATCTCACTAGCTGGGTCAGTGCAACTCTACAGGGGATTCTCACTAAAGTGCAATCAGTGGAACCAGCTTAATCAGCACACAATAGCTAATTAGCCGCTAGCTGCTCGAGGAAGCTTGTCAGACAATTAAGCTGGTTCCACTGATTGCACTGGAGTGAGAATTCTAAGCAGAGTTGGACCAACCCAGTTAGTGTGTGTGTGTAGATGTGAATGTAGTCTTATAATAACCAGAAATGGGAACAAAATTTTGGTGACGAGGAAAAAGATCTGAAAACATTATATGTTAAATGCATTTGGCATTTGCTAAATGACAACATAAGTGAAAAAGGTGTCATTGTCAAATAGCTTAATGAAAAGACTTTGAGTATTCAAAACCAATTTTAGTTTGCTTTCTTTGCTAATTGTCGTTAGGCTGACAATCCTAAGATTTTGATCTTTAGCTTATAGTTACCTTAATCTAATTTTTGTGATCTAATTTTTTTAGAAGTTCTACAGTATGTTGAATGCAAACTGTAATACATATTGAGTGTTAAAAAGTTTTCATTTATGATAGATCCACATGTTAGATTTACTTGTTGACTGTTCCTTTTGTTCACTCTGCCAGGCTTGGTCACAACTGAATTACCTGTTCAGGCTAAGGTGAACAGTTCATAGATATTGAGCAGAACTTTTAATTTCTTTGTAGATCTTTTGGTTTGTGTGATATGAAACTGCATGTAAAAAACTGTTCTATGCATAAGCATCAAACATTGTCGTAGAATAAGTCTATGGGGCCATTCAGAATACAAGATCTGAGTATCAACTGGCTCAAATATGGCAGACCCTGCATGAAAGGAAGACTGCTTAATCCTGTGATGGTCTCTCCACCTCTTACACACCTCCCCACGCGTCTGGTCAAATGGAGTCGAGATTTAATTACTGTGCCCCTGCAGAGACGCTGCGTGGGGAGGCCCCTAAGACTATTTGCTCTTGAAAGTGTAGTATTCATGACTTACATATAAACATTGATTTTGATAGAATTTTTCCATACATCATCACTTGATACATTTGGTAAGGTGGCAGGTGATTCATTTTGGTAACACAATTATATAAACAGATGTATTTGCTGTGTTTGCATGACGTGTAAAAGCTGGAGGTGAAAAAAGGTATTGTGTGCTTCTGTATTTGCTAGAGACACGCCTTCTCAAAAGTGACTGAAATCGCTGAGAATGTTCATTATGTAGATATTTTAATTATAAGATTCAAATTGTAAATCTTCTTTGTCTAATTAAAGTCAGGTGCTGATTAAAGCATACATGCCCATGTACTTCTCTCATGTAGTGTGATTTAACAAAAAATATTCATTTCTTTATTTATTCATTTTTATGGTCATATTGTGAGCCCACCAAAGAGAGCTGGAGAAATTCAAATAGTTACAGCTAATTGAAACAGTTATGGTAGACATTTGGCAGTCTCTCATCTTTATCCCAATAGCAGTGATGAAGGAGAAAATTAATGGCTTTTGCTATTCCTGCACTCTAAACTTCAGTGCGTCAAACATTTTTTATTCCTATGAAAAAAGCTTTTTTCCGTCAAGGTCTGTTGAATATCCATAACCCTTAAAATGTTGAATTACCGTTTGTCCAATGCTGTTATGTTCCCATAAATCCAATATTTAATTACAATGAATCTTTATTTAGCCCTTTAACAGCCTTGAATGGCAAGCTTGTAAAATGCTTGTAATTGTTTATTTGATTAGCTATCTTCACCCTGATGGTTTCCATGACTTCTTAGAATCCTCTAGATTGAATTGGATTTTCAGGATTTTGTATGTCCCAAAGAGCTCTTTAATGTCATTTTCAATATCTAACAACATGATTTGCTTTCAGCAAAGGTGGTGTGCCCCATGTAGTTGATTGAAATAACCATTGAACCATATGGCCATATGGATAAAGTGTGTAACAACCTTTTTGTGGTATATAAGGGCTAGATTGGTTCATAATAATAAAGAAACAAGTTCTCTGTATTAAATGATTAACACAATTTCAGTTATTATCTACAGAGACCCTTCTTAACTTTGCAATTTTTCTCTCCACTTCTCTGGAGAACAGAGTTAGGCAAATCATGGTGTGGTATCCTTAGAAGATGAAAATTCTCTTGGGAGCTTGTTTCCTTATAAACTCATTGTTGTGGTTGTATTTTTTTAAAAGGAATGAATAGAAGTGCCGTATGCTGCATGCATTTCTGCTTGGCTTTAAGGTTTTTTTTTTTTAATTTTCATCTTCTTGGTGTGAGCTGCCAAACATTCTCCAGAGGGGACTTTAACCCCTCACTTCATCATCCACTTATTGCCNACAGGTATTTTAGCATCAAAATCATAAAAAAACATAAAAAAGTTGAATAAGTAACCGAATAAGGAATAAGTAACCGAATTTTGCATTTTTGCAGTAAATTTTGAATGTATAACACCCATTTCTCTGTAGTATAGGTGTAGCTTAGAATGGTTAGGGTCATATTATGCCTGTGGTATTTATCAACAGATATCAGCCATTTCAGTTATTCCAATAGTTTATTTTTTCAGGATGTTTTAGTTACTCACAACTTAACCTTTTTACATGTACCAAATTTGCTTTCTATAGAGTCATCAAAACATTGCTTCGGGATTTATAATGAATCATATTTTTTGTAGCGACTACTATTACTGTAGAGCTTAATGTTTTATCATTGAATTAACCAATTGCTAACAATTATTTAAACAAAACTGTCCATTTTTGTAGTTCAAACTCATTGTTAAGAAACTTGTTGTCATTAGAATAGCTAATGCACTGTAAGTAGTACAAGCAGTGCGTTGATTATATAAATAAAACATTATTTTGCATGTTTGATTTTTTTCACAATAACAGACATCTGAGATGTTTTTTCTCTCTTCTTGTTAACAGGAAAAGAAAATAGAAGGTTTGCTATTGCATACGAAAAGGTGTGGAGAACAGGAAACCAAAACCTAAATAGACATTTCATCTTTGCATCACAAGTGGCACAGTGAATCTGAAGGTGAGTTTCAGCCTGTTTCAAAGTTTCCTTGTAAGGTTAATTGTAAGTTAGCAGTGTGATTCTTTTGTCCTAAACTATATGCATATATTGACTAGAAAAGCTTAACATTTCTCCTGAAATTACAAAGCTGATGTTTTTGAACATTAAGTGTTGTTTCTAATCTTTGCTATATCTTTATATAATCAAGTCAAACACAGTTTTGTTATGCTAATTTCTTTTGTGTGTGTGTGTGTGTGTGTGTGTGTGTGTGTGTGTGTAAGAATCACTAGGGCATTTTGGCCGGTGTTCCACATTCTCTGTCTTGTAGGAAGAGGATGATTATGACATTTCAATAAAAGTAGCATTTCTATTTGATATATGTTTTGTCCATAAATTTAAACACACATGCCTAGCAGTAAAGCTAGACTAAAGAGAACTAAAACTTTCACATCAGTTTGACTGTGTTACATGGACTTTACATGTGTAGAACATTACAATCATCAGTTTTCTTCTGAATCAAGAAAACAGAAATGCTACCATCAAGGTAAAGCTGGTACTCATGGTAACTGTGATGGTGGTATTGGTATGCCTATTGAGCAAAATTCAGCTTAATCAATTTCACAGGGATAAATTTGTCATATCAATCAGATATCCTGCAGTTTAAGCGTTAGAACCAAATATATTTTTAGTAATTTTCATGTATAAAAGATATCATTTGTGGTTTTGTCTTGTAGCTCCAATGGTTGTTTAGTTATCCAGCCTATGAAGTTGATCCTAGTGGAACTTTCCTTCATTTTTACCCCAGAAATGTTTCTTCAGCATGGCAAAATATTGTGCCTTTACGGAGGGGGTTCAGTAATGGCAGACAATTCTGACAAGCATATGTTTTATCTATAAATTTTAGCTCACATGCATTGCACTTTTAGCGGTAAAGCTGGATACATGTAGCAACTATATAAAGAGAGTGAAAACTTTCACATACCGGGTACATGTAGGCTTGACTGTGTTATATGGATTTTACATGTGTAGAACATTGCAATCATCAGTTTTCTTCTAAATCAAGAAAACAGAAATGCTACAATCAAGGTAAAGCTGGTTCTTGTGGTAACTTTGATGGTGGTATGCCTATTGAACAAAATGCTGGTTAATCAATTTCACAGGAATAAATCTGTCATATCAATCAGATACCCTGCAGTTTAAGCACTAGAACCAATGATATTTTTAGTAATTTTCATGTATAAAAGATATCATTTGTGGTTTTGTCTTGTAGCTCCAATGGTTTGTTTAGTTCTCCAACCTGTGAAGTTGATCCTAGTGGAACTTTCCTTCATTTTTACCTCAGAAATGTTCCTTCAGCATGGCAAAATACTGTGCCTTTACAAAGGGGGTTCAGTAATGGCAGGCAATTCTGACAAGCAATCACTGGATTGTGTTTGGTGTTAGAGTTACATACTTGCCCTGTTTAGAAGTTAGAAACAGTGTTAAAAAACCCACTGCCAAACTTCTCCTGTGGTTTGCTTACAAAGATTTTTACATGCATAACATCTTGTTTAGAGAAAAAAATAAGTGTAAATTGAGTCAGACACAAATCAGCAAACCAATATCTTCTCTTGTTAGTACTATAAAAATGACCTGCAAAATTAGGACAACTAAGCAACTGATCAGTTCTATTCTGGCTTCTATTTTGTCATATTTTTGATATATGTGGAATGGTAATTCCTATCTGGTTCCTTGACACATTATTTCTGTTAACAGGTGTTTTCATTTAACCTGTTCTGGTGGCCTCCCTACATGTGGTCAGATGGGCTTCTGAATGCATTTTGATCCAGTATATTTTTCAGTTAAAGCACCGCAAAAATGAAAACATGACAAATGAGGATGGATTTCAAAGATGGGCTATTAAAAAGTCTACAGATTGACAATAAGATAAAAGTAATGATAATTCAAGAACCAAAACAATTAATTGCTAGAGTTTTAAAGTATTGGGTTATAAATAAAAAAATTGACTTTAATTTTTAGTCTTGTTGCCTGTTATGTACAGACACAGTGTGTCTCTTCATACAGCCTTCACCTGCATCTGATATGTTGCCATGCACTTTCCACAGGTAGCACAAAAAATGGAAAACTGGGTGACTTATTGTTCCTTAACTAACTGGAGTGATTAATGACACTGAAATAGAGGTCAGTTCTATTATACAGTTGTTGTTGTTTGTTTTTTTTTAATTTTTCATTTTCACTGGTTCTTTCAAGGGATGTGGGCTTCAACTCCCATGGGCCCTGTGCCAGTTAATTTTCAGGATGTTCACATTAATAAGGGTACTGTCAGGGTTAGCAAAAAGCACCTTAATTACCGCCATACATCCAATTTCTTGGATATCAGATAATGTATATCTTTAATGCCCAATGACTTAATTCCACAGCATTTACACAAATGTTATCATACCGATGACTTCGTTATTGTGGTTTTGGGATAAAAATTGCAAAATCGGTTTCTCACATTTCTCCTTTACCTGAACACCCATAAAAAATGCCCCAGTGTCATTTTTATGACTTTAGAACTCTGTCAGTGATTTTTTTAAAAGCCTTTGTTCAGATTATATCATCAATAAAGCAAAATAATGCCTTTGTTTAATGAAAATCTGTAATTAGGGACTCATAACTTTATAAAAAAAACATTTAAAACAAAATGATGGCATGGGATGGAATCCCATACACATACTGGCCATCAACAATGCCAATTTTTGAAATAAGATCTTATCCAGGCAGGGATGGAGTCACATGTACACCCAATTGCTATTTGCCTCAAAATAGAAAGATGCTAAATTGATGATAAATGCTCTGAGGTTTTTATGCTTATTTTTATTTATTTTTATTATTTTTTTTTTTTGGGGGGGGGGTGCCCTGTTAAACAAACTGGAAGGAGCTACTTGTCCAAATGTAGGGCCTTTATAATGTTTCGAACCCCCCAAAAATTTCATCCATTTTTGCAGGAATTTTATCAATATTGTCACAGGATAATTTACAATCCTCTTTACCTTTATTTTGCCTCAGTAATATTCGGATGGTGAGCTGTTCAGGCCCTTAACCAGCAATTTCAAAAGGGGATTCTTTTTCTGAAAAAGTGGACCTTTTACCATGAAACCTTCATGTACTGAGATAAAATTAAACCCAAAGGGAACCTTTTCTGAGCAAAAAGGATGGTTCATTCGACCC